TTTGCACAGAGAAAAGCTTTGTTCTTTAGCCTTAGTTTGTACCTAGCCCCTGCTGTCCAGTCTCCAAATATGTCAGAAAGGGACAGGTGAGTGAGTGGATGTTGATGAATAGAGACATTCATTTCACTACAGGAAAATAAAAGCATAAAGAGTTACTGCACCCAAGATTATAGCAACATATTGATAGATGTGGGCCAGTGAGTGGTAATTAATAGAAGGCAGGCACTTCCAATCCAAATATGAAGTTACATAAAAGTATCTGCTATGGACACAAATCCAAAGATGCACAGTTTTTATACCTGTGCTATCCATGAGGAAAATGAGGAATTTCACTGAATTTATACCTATCAAGTGCCTAATATGGCCAGCCCCTCATGTTGCTGAGCAGGGTACTCACAAATCTCTACCCTCAAAGTACTTAATGCTGTTAGGAAGTAGAAATGAAATAAGTACACAGAAAACTATAACACAGGAAGCATAAGGTGAATTATGAAAGGAACAAACAAAATGCCATGGGAATTCTGGGAGGGAGACAATTACAGAGTACACCATTGTTCTACCCAATATCCATTCCCCTCTATTTTCCTTCCTAACAGAGCCTTGATTTGTTTAGTATCCACCCTTTGCTACACAATCACAGTCTCCAGGGGAATTGACCTCCTGCTTAGCTTCAAAGGATTTAAGCTGATTAGTCTAAGCCAATCACAGGAATCCCATTATTCTCTCCTGTGCTTAGTTTAGGAATGGTTATGCACCCAAGTCTGGCCAGTAATGATTGTGAGGGACAACCTCTGGGAAATGTTTTCTTACCCTCTGGCAAGAGAGAGAATGGATCCCTTTTTGCCTTTGCGTGTTGCCGTGACTGGATATAATCCCTGGGTGCTGCTGCAGACATCGTCACAGCAGCCAGAGGAAAACGCCAACACGTGCAGGAGCACAGAGAGGTCAACAGGTTTGAGTCAGGTTTTCACTCGAAGATGAACTTTACAGAAGTTGCACTCACTTATTGGGAGTGAGGAAAATTTTATAAGAAAGCCAACACTCAAGATGAGCATGGAAGGAAGGGTCCATTTTGATCAGTGGGGTACAGATAGTAAAATATTTCAGGTGCTGGAGTAGTGATAGGGAGGAGGGAGTAATTTAGGTTAGAAAAGTCAAAAAGAAAGGCACAGAGATTTGCAAGTGTAAAGTGTATTTATCTAGACTGGAGTTTGATATTTTCATGCACGCTTCACTTCATTCTGCAAAGAATATAGACCATTTACAGGAGAGAGATTATAAAAAATATTTTTAAAAAAGGAAAATGAGCAGATACATGGGAGATACAAATATGCAGATTATAATAAAAGTTTAACACCTATACAGGAGATTGAGGAGAAGGGAAATAGGCACAAACGGGAAAGTTCTAAAACCCTATACAGTCACAAGATTTAAATATGACTTTCAAATTTCTGGTGACCAGAATGAAAAGGAAAACTGGTTAATGACATAAGTCTACTTTTATTTTTGGAGAAAACATGCCACTTCCTCAAGAGAATTTATTTATGTGAATATTTATATGGAGAATAATATGTATATGTTATATATATGTTAAATCCAAAGATGCACAGTTTTTATACCTGTGCTATCCATGAGGAAAATGAGGAATTTCACTGAATTTATACCTATCAAGTGCCTAATATGGCCAGCCCCTCATGTTGCTGAGCAGGGTACTCACAAATCTCTACCCTCAAAGTACTTAATGCTGTTAGGAAGTAGAAATGAAATAAGTACACAGAAAACTATAACACAGGAAGCATAAGGTGAATTATGAAAGGAACAAACAAAATGCCATGGGAATTCTGGGAGGGAGACAATTACAGAGTACACCATTGTTCTACCCAATATCCATTCCCCTCTATTTTCCATATATATATTTATATGGAGAATAATATATATATATAGCCTAAACTACTGCCTGACCGTTGGACCATCCGACCGGTAGCTATGACGCGCAATGACCACCAGGGGGCAGATGCTCTGACTGGTAGCTATGACATGCACTGACCATCAGAGGGCAGATGCTCAATGCAGGAGCTGCTGAGCTGCAGTGACTTGGCAGCTGCAGTTCTTGGGTTACACACCCGGAACCAGAGAGAGGGAGCCTGATTCTGGGGTGTGTCACCTGAGAACTGCCCTCTCACAATCCAAGACCCCTTGGGTGATGTTGGAGAGCCGGTTTTGGCCTGATCCCCACAGGCCAGACTGAGGGACCCCACCAGTGCACGAACCCGTGCACCGGACCTCTAGTAGAAGATTTAAAGGATGATCTTGCCATTAATTTATTTACAGTGAATTCATGATTGGTTCCAACATTCTTTTCAACTCAAAGCAAATCAAAGTATATATAATGCTTGGTGAAGTCTTGAGGGGAAAAAACACAAAAACAGAAAAAAATAAGTTGAGCCATATTGTGGAGTGATTCAGATGACAGGGTAAGAACTTTGAAAGTTATTACATAATCAATGGGAAAATGTGGAGTTTGAGGAGTAACATGATCTTAGCTGATCTGTAGAGTTTAATCTATTAATGATCTGTGAGTGGCATTGGAAAAAGACAACCATGGAGATGGAGGAAATGAAACAAATTAATATAATTTTGAGTATTTACTAGATACTAGATATTATTTATGGTGATTTAAATAAACATGACATCTCATTTTTTAAAAACTATTGATGATCACATAAATTTTCTTCATTATTTTATAAATGTAGTAAATTATGTTGATTGATTTTCAAATGTTAAATCTACCTTTTATTCCTGAAATAAACTCAAGTTGATCCTGATGTATTAATTAAAAAAAAAATCACCTGGACTTAATTTACTAATATTTGTTTAGGACCTATGTTTATGAGAAAGATTGTCTTGTACTTTTATTATAATATCCTTGATACCTTTTAATGTTAAGTTATGATAGCCTCATAAAATTTATTGTAAAAAAATTTTTTTTTCATTCTTTGGAAGGCTTTGTCAAGATTGGTACTATTTCTTCCTTAGTGGTAAGAAAAATTCACTGCTTAGACTACTTCTAATCAATCTTTATGGGAAGT